GGCCGGGCGGGCCGGGGCGGGGCGGGTGTCGGTCGGCGGGGCCCCTGGTGAGGGCCCGGCGGAGGGTGCCGAGCGGAGGGCGGAGCCGGACGTATGGCTGATCCCGGCCTGCCGCGTCGGTAAAGGTTCGCGCAGGAAAACGTGTTGTGCCTCTGTGTCTAGACGAGGCTGAGAAAGGAAAGGGCAGCTTCTCCGTGGTTTACACAGGTTTCCCGGAGAGGCTGGGCTCGGGCACCTTATTAGGTGATCCCCCCCATCCCGGGCGGGCCTCGAACCTGGCCTCCTCCTGCCTCAGCCTTCCAAGTAGCCAGGATTACAGCCTAGGCCACCAGGACAGGCCTGCTTTAAATGTGGATCTCTTTTGAGAGAGGGGCTCACGATGTAGCCCAGGCTGGCCCGAAACTCATCATGTCGTCCAGACTGGCCTGGAATTCAGAGCTCCACCTGCCTCTGCCTCCTCGGTGCTGGGATTAAAGGTGGGCGCCTTCATCTCGGCCCCAAATGTGAGTCTTTTTTTTTTTTTCTTTTTAAAGGTTTTTATTTTTTGAGAACTTAATAGATGTGGGTTTTTTTTTTCCCATCATATCCACTCCTTTCTCCACTAGCTCCTCCAGTGTCCTTTCCTGTCCCTTTCAAATTCATGTTCTCTTCTATAGTTTTATATGTATGTATATTTATGTGTGTGTACATACACACACATGTATACCTACTGAATCCAGTTAGTGTTGCCTGTATGTACTTGGGTGTGTAAAGGTGACCACTTGATCACAGACAGTCTATTTGAGCTTGTCCCTAAAAAAAAAAAACAACTGCCTCTTCCTTCTGACTGTCTATAGCTCTTCAACTAGGTGAAGTAAATGTGAGTCTTTATTTATAACTTAAGATGATAGATACCTTAGTTTTTTGCGGTCTTTGGCTATTCTGAATAACGCTGCTGTGAACATCTGGTAACGGCTTTTGGATGTGTGTGTGTGTGATGGTATCGCCTGAGTGTTCAGAGTGAATTGTTACATGTTAGTCTTCTGAGGCATTGACAAGCATTTTAAAGCTCTGCACTGCATTTGACATCCCTACCTCATTGTATGAGTGTTCGAATCTTAGATGGTCTCTTAGTAAAAAACCCAGAGCCAGATATCAGGGTGAAAGCTGAAAGAACAGAGAAGCAGAACAGCCAGCCACTAGTTCTTACCTCTACAAAATCCTCAGCCTAAAGAGATGAGTTCCTATTTCTTGGTGCCTTTATACCTTTCTCTGCCCTCCCATATTAATTCCTGGCATTAAAGAGGTGTGTGCTTCCCAAGCAAAGGCATGAGATCTCAAGTGCTGGGATTAAAGGTGTGTGCCACCACTGCCTGGCTCTATACTGGATCAATCTCATGTAGTCCAGGGTGGCTTTGAACTCACAGAGATCCGGATGGATCTCTGCCTCCCGAGTGATAGATTTAAAGGTGTGTGCCACCACTGCCTGACCTCTGTGTCTAATCTAGTGGCTGGCTCTGTCCTCTGGCAAGCTTTATTAGGGTACACAACATATCACCACATAGGAGTTTTCAAACTCCAATTCCCATCTGTCTAGCATAGTTTTATACTCAGTGTGAAGTGGAACCTCTTGATTTACATTCTTCCAGTGACCAAAAACATTAAGCACCGTTGTGTATTTTCAGGCTACTTGTGGATAAAGAAAGACTTTTGGGATCCTTTTCCTACTTTAGAATCAGATTGTTTTTATTTTGTTAACACCTGTTAACTGTACAAATTAATGGGTACATTTCACCGTAACATTTCCATATGTGTATATATGGTGCAGTGGTTGTGTCCATCTGCCCCTTTGGTTCGAGTTGTAAGAATTCTTCATGTTTTTTGGATATTAGTGTCTTATCACATCTGTGACTTAAAAATGGTTTCTTCCATCCTCTGGATTATTTAACTGTCTTGATGCCGTCATTTGAAGCATAACTGTATTTTTTAAAGATTTAGTTAGTTTTTCTTTCTTTGAAACAGGTGTGCGCCACCACCGCCCAGCTTGCAATACATGTTAACGGCTTAGCTATCTTCCTAGCCCCCCAATAGAGCCATTTATAAGCCCAAAATGCCAGTCTTTCTTTCCTAAAAATTCATACATTTTTACTTTTAACCCAACAGCAGCAGCCGCTCTTCGAAAACATTCAAACCAAAGAAGAATATTCCTGAAGGCTCCCATCAGTACGAACTCTTAAAACATGCAGAAGCCACTCTGGGAAGTGGCAATCTGAGGCAAGCTGTCATGTTGCCAGAGGGAGAGGACCTCAATGAATGGATTGCTGTTAACAGTGAGTTTTAAGAACGTTAGTTAAACTTGCTGATTGATAGAGTTTGCTAAAATCTTATTGGATGAATTTTCTTTTATAGGTATAACTATTGTAATATAACAGCTATCTATAAAAAACATGAATACAAATACATTTAGACTATTTGTCAAAGTACTTGATAATGTTGGTTGAGTGGAGAGACTTGAAGTGCTGAGTGCTTTAGGCTGATTTTTGGGGAGAATATTGTGAAGAAATGAGTAAGGTCAACTAAAAATGTACATGCAAAGTGAGCGGCTTATATGTTGTTTGAACAATGTAAAGTACTACTTATTTAGGGAAACCCCTGCTTTTAATTTTATTCAAATTATTGAGTTTGGGCTGGAAAAATGTGTTCGTGGTTAAGAGTGCATGCTGTTCTGCAGAGACCCAGTTTGTTTCCCAGCACTCACATAGGGCAGATCATATCTGCTTTTTTTTTTTTATACTCCAGTTACAGCCCCCGAGGATCCAGCAATCTCTTCTGGCCTCTGCAGGCACTTGGACTGTCATGTATATACCCATACACAGATACAAATGTATATAATTTAAAATATTTTTAAATTAAACCTCAAATTCTGAAGGCATGTGTTGGCTTCCTGCAGTTTTAGATTTTTCTTTGAAGCTTAACTGCTCTAAATCATCTATTCAAACCTTTTGGTCTCTGGCCGTCGAGATGGTTCAGCGGGTAAAGATATTTGTTGCCAAGTTCAGTCTCTAGAACTTACATGTTGGAAGATGAGGATTGACTCTTGGAGATTGTCCTCTGAGCTTCATGTATATGGACATACACACATACTTGAGTGTGTGCAAATACAGTTAAAAAAAAACAAAACAAAACAACACTTTTGTTCCCAGAGTCCCTTTATTCTCTGAACAGTTACTGGAGGGCTGGAGAGACTGCTCAATGTTTGAGAGCTAATACTGCTCTTGGAGAGGACCAGAGTCCAGTTCCCAGCTCCACATCAGGCCTCTCTGTAACTCCAGTCCTGGAGGATCCAACATCTCTGGCTCCACCAGCACCTGAACTCCCTCTCCCCCTAGTAAAAAATAGGTCTTAGAGGGGCTCTCTGCTCTCACTGCTGTGTCGGACAGACACAGGGACCAAGCTCAGAGCTTGAAATAAAGGCTCTTTGCTTTTACATGTGGGGGAAAAATAGGTATTAAAAAAAACATTACTGAGCATGTCAAACTTTTAATTATGTACAGTGTATCTAATGTTACTCTTTGGGAAATTTAAACTGAGAAAAATTAAAATATTTACTTTTAAATTTATTTAAAAAGAACCCTACCCTGTGTTAGCAAATACTTTTATTTAAACAAAATTTTAATTTTCCAGAACAAGTTTCAGTGAGAAATATGGCATTGTAAGTCTTTGGGAGTCTTTCTTACTGTTTGGCTTAACAGTCAGCTAGGTCCTCATGTCTGCTTCTCATCCACTCTCACACCATGGTGGAGACCCTGCAGAACCCCACTGCATCCTCCTCAGGATGAGAGTGAAAGCTGCCGTCCAACCCTTGCTAGGCTTACACATACCTATGAAATGTCATCTTCTGTACTCTCCTTTAGTGAGAGTATTGAGGTTAGGCCTAATGTTGTTTTCTTTAAAATATAACTAAGATGTCCGACATAGTGGCACGCACCTTTAATCCCGGTCCTTAGGAGGCAGAAGCAGGGGGATCTTTGGACCTCTGAGTTTCAGGACAGCCAGGGCTGCACCGAGAAACCTTGTCTTGAAAATACTAATACTAATAATAATATAAAATATAACAGAGGAAAGTTTGTAAGTTAGAGAGCTTTTATAAAATGTTTTTGATGAAACAGAATTTTTTTTCTTAATCCATTTTTGAAGAAACTTGGAAAGCCCTAGTTCATTTTTTCCCCAAGTACTCCTTTAGACAGGAACATGGTATTTTGAAAAACTTCGCAAGTCTTAATGATTCTCTTCACACCCAGTCAAGTTTACCCTCACACCTTCCTCCTCATCCTTCAGATCTAGTGGAAGCTCCTTTGGAATGTCCTCCCTGGCCTCCTCTGTCCTTCCCGATGTTGCTTTTTCTCTGAATTTCTAGCACTTACTGTTGGCATGTGGGTCCCATCTTCAGTCTTGTGTTATTCATCTTTTAAACTCTTGTGTTCGCATAGACCCAGACTAAGGACTTGATTCCAGATCCTTTTTGAGTGGTCACATGCTGATGCTAAAGGAGATGTTTGAAATGTATGATACAGCCTATAACTTCTCACTGAGTTTGTTCTATAACACATGATAGGATGTAGTTTAGATTGATAAGCTAGGAATCTTCCAACTCCTTGGATCTAATCAAATAGTGTATTCCAGTGACTTATTAGTTACCATTAAGTTAAAATCAGCTCCAGCGTTTTGCTTAAGTTAGTTGGACATGGTAGTATGCTCCTGTAATCCCAGTTGCTGGGGAAACTGAGGCAGGAGGATTGCATGAGCCCAGGAGTTCCAGACTAGTCTGGGCAACATAGAACCCACTTCAAAAAAGAAGATAGTGTCCATTTTCCTTCGGCTGAGAGGTCTGTTTGGTTTATCATAGTTTATATAGATACTTAGAGTGACGGCCTTGTCTTTGCAGCTGTGGATTTCTTCAATCAGATCAACATGTTGTATGGAACCATTACAGAATTCTGCACTGAGGCAAGCTGCCCAGTCATGTCTGCAGGTCCCAGGTATGCATCTAGCCTGGTACAGACGCTTTTGAGTTTCTTTCTTTTATAATTGATAAAAATTAAATAATACTGTTCTTACCTGTTTCTTTGTATAGAGATAATTCAGTTTGTGAGTTCTTGACTACTCAGCAATAACTCTTATGTTAACTACTTTGGTGTATAAACACTCAGTGTTTACTGTTTATAAATTATAATTGTAGGAGGAAATGTATAGAAATTTGAGTAAGGGGCCAGCAAGATGGCTGAGGGGTAAAGGCACTTGCTGCCAAGACTGACTCTGCAAGTTGCTTTCACATGTACAGTGTCTGCATGCCCACACAAATCAATGTCATTTTAAAAGAGATGTCACTTAGATTCATCCAGAAAGTCTGGTGGGTTTATTTGTTTGTTTGTTTTTTATTTGACTGGAGTTTAATTTCTTACAAAAATTTTTAGGTAGTCTTTTAATAGTTGCTCATTTTTCCTGGTACCTGTATTGAATTAATGAAAGTAGCTGCACAACCAGAAGTAAGTATCTATCTTAAAGAGGCTGAGATAAAAATAGGCTGAGGGTTTCCTGTAACTTCTCGTACAATTTCTGTGGACAGAACGTGAACCTGCTTTGATTACAGGTTGTGTGTGTTAAGATTTAACAACTGAGCCGGGCGGTGGTGGC